TAGTGGGTGACCCAACGGGTCACGGGTGGTCTAGTATATTCTAAAATCTCCAAATTGTGTTTCTCCAAAAAAAGTTGTTGGACAGTCAAACTCAACTGAAGTAGATCCATCATACATAAGCCAAATATTATAAATTTTAATAAAAAATACGTTATATATGAAACGTATATTAGGATGCAGTGCACCCTTAGGCCCACTAGTTGCCCACCACCGCCCTAGGACTTTAGAATACAAACCTTAGGTTTTTTTGGCTACTTCCATGTTCTCTATTAGTCAAATAATCACAATTCAGGAGTTAGTTACTTTTGTTGTTGTTTGTAGTTACCACTTACATGGATGAAACCAATTATCAAGTCAAACACAAAAATTAAAACACCAACAAAAGTTAAAATAAAAGTGAAAAACTACTGTTTACTTTGTGTGTGTGTGGATATGTATTTGTGCCCTGAGGCTGTAATTACAGGTAATTGTTATTTTTCCTTTTGCTAAGTGAGACCTTGACATAAAACTCCTGAGGAACATGAGTATATTTGTAATATGATTCAGAGAAATTCCAGTTGCTTTAGTAACAATTCACATCCGTGCTGGAAGTTAAGAATTAACTCTTGATGTTCTTTGTTCTCTGTTGTTCCAGACAAAGCATAAAAAAAAAATAAGTTGTTAAACTATGGGGCGTGCATTAGGCTTCTCGTGATATCAGTTTTAACGTTGCAAATTAGAAAGTTCTCGGGAAATCCGTGAAGATAGGATCGCCATCTTGTGAGCATTTCCTGCTGCTAGTGTCCTTTTAGTAAAGTATTAGTCACGATGTGTTTTTGTTTGCTCCTTTCTCCGTGTCAAAAAGCGCGTGACTACTTTTCTTCTGCTCTTCGTCTCGATAATCTTTGTGGATTTTAAGATTAGATTACAATGTATTATGTTATGTTATCTTACGTTTAAAGTAAATAGAAAAAGATTATTATTTCATAATAAAATAATTTCGTAATCATTGAGTAAGCCTTATCTCATTTTGAAAAATAAAATTAAACTCTTCAAGTAAAACCAGATTTAGCCTATTTCACGACTCTAAACTGAATTATCACATCTTGTTACACAGAAAAATTGGGTAAAGAGGACACACTGCTGCATTTATATTAAGAGTAAGACTCATCTGTGCGTGACAGTTCTTTTCATTCTGTGTAAATTTCATCTTTGGCTAACAATCTTTTTAATTCTATATAAATATGAACTTTGTCTACTAGCCTTTCTAATTCTCTAGACATTTCATCTCTTCGTATATTTCGGCTCTGCCCAATCTGCTTAAACCGGGTTTCGATACACGTGTTGGGCAGAGCACAGATAGCCCACTGTGTAGCTTTGTGCATAATTACAAACAAACATATTTTGTTTAATATTTCTATAATTAATATTTGCGGCTTTGGTAATTTTTAATAGACGTTTTTAAAACAATTTCTGCAGTATTTGACTTGTGTACTGTAGAAGTTAAACCTCTGTAGTATCTATTGTTGCGTCATCGAGTCACATGACTACTGTGACGCAACGTTTCTAGAACTATCATGTACTTTGGCGAATGCTCTAGTGTTTGCTAGATGGGGTAGGCGAGGTATATA